CTCTAGAATTACTGCATAAAGTATTGCATATCAGAAAAATGTTCTAGAAATATTTTATATAATTTATGCTCGTCTTGTTATGAGCGAATAGTACGATACAAAAAGCGGGAATGTCCCAGAAAAGTTGGGGCTGGTGGTTACTCTAAAGCCTTACTCCCTCATAAAATTAGTAACGAACGCCATTAACAACTCAGTAACGGTAATATACATTTTTATAATGAACAACTGAAACTTTAGATAAATACTTTTGCGTCTAACAACAAAAGGCTGCCAAATTAATATACAACGTGTCCCAAAATTCAACGATAAGCGGGCGCCAAGAGGTACCCTTGCTCATGTGTACTTACGGAAAAATAAGAAAAAAATTATATCTTATCTTTTTTATTATAAAATTAAATTCGAAAATCTTCGAAAATTTACACCTTTTATGATATTTTCAACTACCACGACCACAACTTCTCAATTATGTTCAATCTTTTTTTGGTATCGGATACCTAAGTAGCACTACTATTAGCTACAACTCTTTCGAAAATTTTCGAATGTTATTTTATAATAAAAAAGATTAATAAGATATAATTTTTTTCTTATTTTTCAATAAGTACACATGAGCAGGTCTACCTCTTGGCGCCCGCTTATCGTTGAATTTTGGGACACGTTGTATATACGCGTAATTCAATAAGCTCGAAGGCGATTCAATAAATACAATATGAATAATGATCTTAAACTATGGAGACATCAAATACTACCATGTAATACCGAAAACATAAACTTTACTATCTGTCCATGGACAGATCGTGCGCACCAACTGCAAATAATTATATTTCTTCATATGGATAGTCATATTTACTTTTGTCCGAACTTTACTTATGTAACGAGTCGTTGTTTGTGTAGTTCTAAAGAGTTTCATGGTTAAAACTCATTTACGGCTAACTTTTTCTTTGTTTTTGAAAAAATAAATTACTCTCGGGTGCATATTTATTGTACGCATTTAACTTTAAATTTATTTAACTTCTGTTATTTTTATAACTTCTATTTATCTTTTCATAGGATTATCAGCGCACAGTTTAACTTCAAAGAAAATAAACTACCTAAATATCTAGGTCATGTACTACTTTTTCTGAGTTCTATTCGTGATATATATTCATTAAAACAAAAAAAATATTCAAAATTTCACTTTACCACTTTGTTGGCGTAATTAACGTGTATACTCATGCTGCATTACAACTTTCTAGTATCAATAGTTTTTGAGCCAAACCGCGCACGGACGGACAGACATGGTGAAACTATATAAAACCTTGTTTACTACGGAACCCTTTTTCACAGCTTCAAGAATAGGGATGACGAATAATGTTTGTTTGTTCGTTCGTCAAGTAGATTATTGAAGAATATTAAATACGTATTTTTTTTATTTTCTCCTAATCTATAAATTACGGCGATGAATTAAGTTGAAATGTCGCATGACGTCACGCTTTTGTACATTTTTATACAAAACTGTGACGTAGCAAGCCCACACTCCACAACTTTAATGCCTGTTATCTAAGCCATTTCTTGTTTTAATTAAAGCAAAAAAATACCTATCTAATATTTTTCTATTATCTGACTGAAAGAATTTCTTTTTTTTTACCCAGTGGTCTTCCCTATTGCTTGCAATTTGAAAATAGACTATAGTTGATACTTTCATGTGCTCCTAAGAAATGGATCTTGACAGACAAACAGCGCAACAGTGATTTTTCTTTTGCAGTAGGACACACCTAAGCAACTAAAGCACTAGCAATTTTGAGTCAGCCGATAAATTTTATAGCTCCGGTAATTCTTACGGAGCTATACTAGATTGCATGAATTTGGCGATAAATACGACGATCAAAATGATAAATTAATTATCGATCGACTAAAAATCGCTAATACGTTCAGACTCTAAACCTCATCGTATATCTATAATAGACCTTTAACTGAGAAGACTGATTTCCACCTCAAAGAAGCCAAATTAAAAATACTCGACAAATCGCGGGACATCTATAATAAAGTAACCGCTTGACCTTCCACCGTTCACTGTCGCGAGAAGGGCCAGTTGTCGATAGCGTACACGAAAATAGCCGAGAAGACGGCACCACTGGACACTGCGGATGTAGGCGAGGTCTCCCACCTGCCCTAATTACTAACTATACATAGAATCTATGGCATATTAACACGAGAATATGTGGCATAATTATTAAGAAGAAATCGAATATCGATTTGACACAATTGATTTACTTGATTGTTTTGGCAAAAGTATTTTAAAACTTTTATATATGATCACTATCAGATTTATAATCTAAGATCCCACTGCTTAAATCTGCAGTTATCTGCTTTTTTTTATTATACTTATTTTTTTATGATAAATGTAAGATAGTAGAATAGATTGAAACAGGGTTGCCATGCAGAATTTAGCCGCAATTATTTTTAATGCATTTTTTGTCACTTTTTGTTAATAAATTGCAGTCATATGTGTTTTTGTGAACCCCACATCATTTGAAAGAGAATGATGTAAGGAATCGAAACTACCATGGTTGCCAGCTCTCAGTTAGCCGCAACCCATGTGTTGCCAGGTTTAAACAGGTAATATCTTAATGTTAAAAATTTTCACAAATGATGTAATTTGTTGTCACTATAACAACAAATATCAAAAAACAGAATAAAATAAATACTTAACGGGGCTCCCATACAACAAAGTGATTTTTTTGCTGTCACCAGGCTGTATCTCATTAACCGTGATAGTTAAACTGTTGAAATCTTCACAGATAATATATTTCTGTTGCCGTTATAACAATTAATACTAAAAATAGAATAAAATAAATACTTAAGGGGGGCTTCCATACATCAAATGTGACATTTTTGCTTGTTTTTGGTACAGAACCCAATGTATGCGAATCCGACTCACATTTGGCCAGTTATTAATGTATTAATTAATCAACGTGTTAAAAACATATGAATGCAATTTATCAACAAAAAGTAGTTATAAAAAAAATATATTAAAAATAATTAGAGTTTCAAGTAAAACTACAACAAAAGTTCCAAAAATAACTTAGTATTGAAATGTACAATGAGCTCATAGCACAAATATTCATAAAGGGCTTTATTACTCAATCATTATTTTTAAATCTATTATTTATAAATTTGCAAGATTTTCTCTAATCTCTATCTTCAAACCCAATTACAAGTTAATGTACCTTGAATAAAATCACATTACACCATTATCTACCAAGTAAATGACTTCACCAATTTCCGGCAATAATTAATAATTCCTTTATTTTTGTACAAATAACGGTTACGGAAACCTGAGTTCTGCATACACCATATAAAATTATAGTTTTTGTAAGCAGCTGCTGCGGTATTGGTGATTATGTTTTACATTAATAAGTATCTACAGAAACATTAATTACCCATACTCATAACAAGAGATGTGCTTAATATTGGTTTCACCAAATAACAGAATACTGTTAACTTAAACACCAGAAAAGTATTCAGCTTAATCTTGAATGAACTGGATATATGGCTGAATTATTTGGATTACCATTATATTGTTTTTATTTAGACAGTGTGAGATCTTACAAAGCTCCCTCTCTTTATAGGTTTTGTTGTGTGTATGCAAGTTTGTTATTAAGCAGAATACAAATAGAGAAAACTATGTCAAATATTGAATACTAAATGAATTTTGGGTGCATCTCTACTCATAATGTACTCTTAAAGTGGAATAAAAAATAAAATATTTCAAAATACAGTGATTATAGTCATTGTTTATCTTCAATTGACATCAATTTTTATTCCATTCTTGTAATTCTGTAATGATAATTGTTCTGTACATCAAAAGATGGTCAAATTGGAAAGCACACCAAACTTTGCTATAAATGAAAAAAATTAAAATAAGACTCTTAAAATTACAATGCCCAAGTTCAATTCAGCACAACAATTCTGAGAACAGACTGATTAATTAATGTAGAGCTTTGGACCAATTAAATTAGGGCCATGATACTTTGTGTCATGCATTAATAACTCATTGATACTTTATGAGTAACAATTATTCTCAATTGACTATCAGAATAAATAGTAAACAAGTTCTGTGTACACATGACAGAAAGTTAATAACCACAATAGTTCTTTTCAGAACTGAATTTGAACTCTTAACTATAATACATTAATGTTTAAAATCAAGTGGAGATTTTTGACAGTTTTGTATCCCATCCTATTGAACTTTACTAATTAAACAAATGCCATGTCAATATGAATAGATGTAAAATTGCACAAAATGAAAACTTCAAAGAAAAACTTATCTTTAAAAAAAGATAAGGCAAATTCTAAAAACTGACATTTGGTTCATATTATGGTGGAATTATAATATCACAAATGTTTAGTTTCCAAGAATCAATTTCAATTTCTATAACAAACTTAAGCTGTAATGCAATCAGTCAGTTCAATTGTCAAACAATACTATATTGTAAATTGTATGATTTTAATAATTTTTCATAGCCTGTCTGATGTACTGGTTATGAGTATGTGAAAGCTCATATTCACACATCTTTTCTGTAACATGTTTAATATGCTATAATCAAATTACTAAGCTGTTGATTTGCTAATTTTACTTCATCATTAGTAAAACTAATGCAAAGACCCTGCAGTTTTAATCAATTTTCTAAAATTGTCTTTGATTTCTTATTGGATTAGAAGGTTATTTAAAATCAATTCTAATAATAATTAAAAACATTACCACAAACAGGATCAGGTTACTTGCACTTCGTAACTGCATTCATTCGTTTCTCAAGGTTAAACAAATCTTAAACTGTTACATGTTCTCCTAACATGGGCATTATTCCGATACAGAAAAATCCTCGACGTCACCTCTAAGTGACGTAATCTACTAATAATATAGATATAAACTTTTACAGTAAATAATTAACTTAATATTTAACACCTACACGAGACAAATATAATGATTCTATAAATAATACAAATCATATTCGGCTCACCTGTTGAGCAACAGGCTCCAGTATACTTTCGATGATCTTCGTATGGAACACCGGCATGTTGATGTCGTTAGCACCTATCTACATGAGATAATAAACACAAATAACACAGATATTTTTTTACACTAAAAATAATACAAAATACCATTGACACAACCAAACAACAAAAGACACGGAATATGACTAAATTTTTGACATTTGATTTGTCACTTCACTGACACCTGACAGTTGACACTGACAGTTATCAAAGAATTTGCCAGACAGTGAATAGAAAGATATCACCGCTATTTCGTTACAAGTAGCAGTTATTTCGTTTTTATAAAATGTTTTATTAAGAATATTTATTATGTAATACAGCACTGTGAACGCAAAATTTATAAAATATAATATTTATTTGGTTTGTAACTGATATTTGGTTTGTATTTGGTGGACTTGATTGCAAATGAAATATAGTTTGAGTGAAATGAGTTGAAATAAGTGTTATAGTTTGAGTGAAATGAAGTGATCCATAAACTAATAGAAGTTAAAGTATGAAATTGCCGATTTGTAGTGAAAATCAAAAATGTTCATATTTCATTTTTTAACAAATTTATTTAATCAAAATAATTGCCGTTATTATCTATACATTGCTGCCATGTAATAGGAAGGTCATTTATGCCTTTGCGATAGAACTCTAAGGATTTAGACTGCGCAAACTGTGTGAAAGCATTGTACTGCTTCCTAGGAAGAAAACTTCTTGTCACGTAGATAATTCTCCAAATCTCGAAAACAATGATAGTCCGTTACAACGGACTATCATTTTTCTACAGCGGGGTCTGGCGAATACGGAGGATGACGAATGGTTTCTAATTGCAGTTCTTGAAGGGTCAAAACGGTTTCTCGTGGTGTATGAGGTCTCGCGATGTCCTGGTGCAATTATGGTGAAAATCGATTCATGAGTAGGGACTGTTTTACTGCTAGTTTTGCCAACATTGTTCGGAGTTCGGCACAATAGACATCTACCAGTTATCATTACCTTTTTATTGGTAAGTTTTGTCACAATTCGATCCAAAATTCTTTCATTTCTGTACCGATTCGACATGGCAACACAAGTTTCAAGACGCGTTTCTTTCTGCAAATCAGTCAAATCATGAGGCACACATTTTTCGTATTTTTTTATTTTGTTGATTTGACGCAAATGAGTAAATATTGTGGGTTGAGTAAACCTTGCCGCTAATTCCTGAGTAGTTTGACTAGGATCGGATTCCACCATCTCTCTTAATTCATCGTTACTCACCTGTGTCTTCCTCGTGACTCGTTCTTCAAGTCGAAGTTTCCATCACGAAAGCGTTTAAACCAAAATCGCGTTCATTGGCAGAGCCCTCTCCAAACGCAAAGTTGATATTGCGAGCTGTTTATACCGCGTTACTTCCGCATCGGAACTCGTATTCAAAAATCACTCGAATTTTCGCAGTATCCAACATTCATGTCTAAATTGAATAACAAAAACTATAATAATAATGTTAATATACAATTGATAACAAAAATAAATGTTTCTCATTTTTTAAAAGAAGAACGTCATTTGAAAATTGTTTTTTTCGAAACCTCAAACCATGAAGATTCTAGGTAAATTCAAGGAACCTATTACAATAAAACGACAATTTCATACTTTACCCCAAAGAGAAAAATAACTTTAACCCCTAATATTATGACACGTAAATCCATCCATTAAACCACCCATAGATCTTTGAATCAAATAAAATATACCGTAAAGTTCAAACATTAAAGACATTGGAAGTGAGAAATTTGTCTTGATTTGTTTATTAGAAAGTGTTTGGAATACTTTCAACGATTTGGCTTTAACTTTAAGATTTCATTATTAGATTGCAATAGAAGGCATTTTTTATCAGGCAGAATTATTTATATATGTATATATTATTGCGTTGAACTGTTTTATTTCTTTGTTTGCATTCTTTTAGTGTGTTATAATCAGAGCTTTTTAATTTTCCCAGTGTATTGGCAGCAATTAAATAAAATAGGTATGCACCTACAATCGTTCATTAGGAGCCAAGGTTCCAAGTTGTAGTTCAAACACAGAGATGTGACTTATCTTAGATACAAGTATTTGAAATACAGATCATCATCAGCCCATATTCGTCCACTGCTGGACATAGGCCTCCCCAATTGCACGCCATCTATTTCGATTTTCGGCTGTTCGCATCCAGCTCCTGCCAGCCATCTTGCGCAAATCATCGCTCCACCGCGCGTGAGGACGTCCTACACTACGTTTGCCGAGACGCGGTCTCCACTCAAGAACTCGTTTACCCCAACGGTTATCGGTTCTGCGGCTAATATGGCCAGCCCACTGCCACTTCAGCTTGCTAATCCGGTGGGCTATGTCGATAACCTTGGTTCTCTGCCGGATCACTTCATTTTTGATTCGATCCCGCAGAGAAACGCCGAGCACAGCCCTTTCCATAGCACGCTGAGCGACCTTCAACTTGTGGACCAGCCGTGCCGTCAGTGTCCACGTTTCGGCTCCGTATGTCATAACGGGTAGGACGCACTGATTAAAGACTTTTGTCTTTAGGCACTGCGGGATCGACGATGTAAAGACCTGACGTAGTTTCCCAAACGCTGCCCAACCTAGCCGAACTCTTCCATTTACCTCGCTCTCGAAGTTGTTTCTACCTAACTGCAATGTTTGCCCGAGGTATACATATTTTGGAACAATTCCGAGAACGGCACCGCATACTGCAATCGGTTCCGGTAGTACGTGTTCGTTGAACATGACCGTGGTTTTATCCAAGTTCATCCGTAGGCCGATGCGCATAGAAGAGTCAGCCAGGTCATTCAGCATCTGTTGTAGGTCCTGCAGATTTTCTGCCATGATGACGATGTCGTCAGCAAATCTCAAGTGAGAGATGTACTCGCCATTGATGTTGATGCCACGTCCTTTCCAGTTCAGCGTCTTAAACATATCCTCCATTGCATTAGTAAACAATTTCGGAGACATAACGTCTCCTTGTCTCACTCCTCGATGCAACGGTATAGGACTTGTTTGCTGATTCTGTACTTGGACGGTCATGGTGGCGGCCTCATAAATACATCTTATCACTTGGATGTATCGCCAATCGGCTTGGCATCGCTGCAGGGACTCCAGAACGGACCAGATCTCAATCGAGTCGAAGGCCTTCTCATAGTCCACAAATGCTAGACACAGGGGCTGATTATACTCTTCAGTCTTCTGTATAATCTGCCGCACTGTGTGGATGTGGTCTATGGTGCCGTATCCACTCCGAAACCCAGCCTGCTCCGGTGGTTGGAATTCGTCAAGTCTTTGTGCAAGACGGTTCGTGACTACTCTAGAAAACAGCTTATAGACGTGTCTTAGAAGGGAAATGGGTCGATAGTTCTTCAGCAGGGTTTTGTCTCCCTTTTTGAAGAACAGGACGACAACACTCCTACTCCACGCCTGCGGAGTTCTCCCTTCGAAGGGGACAGCATTAAAAAGTTTTTGGAGCTCCTTCAGTTAAATACAGATATAAGATACAAAATACGTATTTTCATCTTTTATCTAAAATACTTTTTTTAGGAAGAATTTTGTATCTTGTATTTAAATACTTTAGTTTAGTATCTAAGTATCTTTTAAATACTTTTTCTGATAAAATACTTTATAAAAAGTTTTTTACATTTTATAAATATCACAAAACATTATTTGCCTAAAACATACATATTTACAAGAAGAAAGTGTCCAATTATCAACGCAATGAATATTTAGTTGAAATTAACTTGAATCCAAACATTGTTTGGTGTCATTTAAAAAGTAAATGCGTAGAACTGAACGTACCCTAGTAAAAATTGATAGATGGCGCATTGGGCTTGAAATCGAATAACCAGTTACAAGCAGTAAAAAATCCTGATTTATGTAAAAAACCGGTCATATGCTATAAATAAAACTCAGTATATCAATTAAACTCATTATTAACTTTTATTAATTTTTTGCACATTATACTTTTTCCACTAACAACAGCATTCAAAAAGTTTATTTTTAAAGAAATTTCACTGTGAAATTCGATACATGGCAAATGCTTGAAATTATATCCCGTGAGCAAAGCAATATTGCCTTTATTGACTCAACAGTTAATCTATTTCTATCTTTTGCCCACTGCATATTCATGAGCGAAAAAATTTTCTATATTCGTATTATGAGGCATAATACGAAAAATACTGACAAATCTTCAGTAGTTCGGAAACGAGTGCTGTCATTGCATATATTGAAAATAATTACCCACTGCTTTTTAACTAATTCGTCATAAAAATAAATTTGTAAAAAGACAAAATTCTTCAAATCATTTCTTTGACATCGTCAATTAATACTCCTTTATTTTTCAAAAATACAACACAAACTGTGATATTATCGTATAGTAGATTTTGCTTTAATAAGTAATCATTTAATTCATCATTTAATTCATTAATAAGTAATCATTAGGGATCTTTATTGAGAAACAACAAAAAAACGGGCGGAGTCCTGTCTAAATATTAGGTCTTTACCTATGAAATTGCCGTTCTGCTGTACTAGCCATTTCAATTAAACTATCTTTTTTGCCTGATAATTCTAATATCAAATTATTTTTTCTAAAATCGTCATTTGTTCAATAGTTAGTGTTTTGTTTTCAATGCATTTGAATATTTTTCGTCGTCATGGGTAAGTTAAAAATTCGAGTAATTATGGAGTATGTGTGCCATCGTGGCAGCAAAGCGGCACAAGCGACACGCAACATTACAACGTTTGCAGAGTGAACACTACAAACGAACGCACCACCAGTTATTGGTTTGCCCGCTTCTGTTCTGGAAACTTTGGTCGACAAGGCGATTGTAGAAGCTGATGAAACTCAATCTAAAGTTGAATTAGCAGCAGCTTCGACGTTAGCATCAAAACAATATTCATTTGTGTCAAATCGGGAAGGTAAAAAAACTTGACAAATGGGTACTCCACGAACTCAATGATCGCCAGCGCGAAGTACGCGTCGAGACACTGCACTGCTTTACAGGCATACAAATGGAGGAACTCTGGACTGCATTGTTACTAGTGACGAAAAATGGATCCTGTTCGACAATCGTAAGCGTTCAGCAAGTTGGTTGGAGCTTGGTTCAGCACTCAAACAATACCCTAAACGAATAGGTTACTGTTTGGAGGTCTAAC